ATAGGCTTACTGAAAAGTGACGTAACAATTTCGAAATCGTCCTGGATGAAGATTTCGAAATTGTTACCTCATAGTTTGAGTATTTCCCGCTCGAAATCTAAGGTAAATTTATACAAAAACTAGTGACTCACCAGATTCCGTGTCCTGAATAAGACTAAGAGAAGCCCCATCAGAGGCATGGAGATTGAAGCAAAGGGGCAAGTGCAGTCCGTTCACGTGGACTACGAAATGGGGATCGTTGTCCACTGTTGGTTCAAACATACAGCTAGATTAACTCCTAATTGTTACATAGCACTTTCGCGAAAAGGAATATCCTGAACTGCTTTTTTACTTTCATATAGCACATTATTATATCAGGTTAGATCGTAAGAACTCACGTAACCGAGATGAAGAATCGCGTCCAGCATTTCTATTCCTTGCTGAATATAGAGCCGAGAGAAGCACCATTGAAAGCGTGGAGATTGAAATAGAGAGATGTATAGTCGTTACACATGACCAACAATATGAATATCATTGTCCGTTACCGGTTATAAGGACTTCATTTACAGTATGCATGAGTGTTATATGTATACTGTAATAAAGGAAAAATACTATGCATCCTGTAACGAAATGGGGATCGTTGTCCACTGTTGGTTCAAACATACAGCTAGATTAACTCCTAATTGTTACATAGCACTTTCGCGAAAGGGAATATCCTGAACTGCTTTCTACTTTCATATAGCACATTATTATATCAGGTTAGATTGTAGAAGCACTGAATTCGTAAGAACTCACCAGAATGAGAGGAAGAATCGCGTCCAGCATTTCTATTCCTTGCTGAATCTTTGTAGAGAGCCAAGAGAAGCACCATTGAAAGCGTGGAGATTGAAATAGAGAGATGTATAGTCGTTACACATATGACCAAATTGTTACATAGCACTTTCGCGAAAGGGAATATCCTGAACTGCTTTCTACTTTCATATAGCACAGTATTATTTTAGGTTAGATTGTAGAATCAATGAAATCGTAAGAACTCACCAGAATGAATTAAAGAGGCGTGTCCAACATATCTATTCCTTGCTGAATCTTTGTAGAGAGCCGAGAGAAGCATCATTGAAAGTGTGGAGATTGAAATAGAGAGATGTATGGTCGTTACACATGACCAACAATATGAATATTGTGAGGTGTTCTTTCGCTCTGTGGCTATTGATATATATTTTAAATGTGGGTTCACAGTGTCTAGATGTGTTGTGGTAGCGTGAAACATCTAGACACAAACAAGCAAACAAAAAGAAAAAAAAAGAGACCGAGCATAATCATCGACTCCTTAACGTTCAGCCTTTTTAAAGAAACTAGAGATTATTCAGTGTTTACATATGGGAAAGGCAAGGTAACAGGCTTAAGTGCATCTCGAGAATATTAATGAAATAAATTAAGTAATTATGATTAACTGATTAAAAGAAATTTGAAACAAGTAATAAAAACAAAGGATCACGTCCAGCTCCTCAGAAAATAAAAAAAACAACGTCAGTACACAGACTTAACTCTCTCGGTTTCGGGGGGCGTGGCCGCTTCACAGTTTTCCCGCTCACACAGGGGTAATGACACACAGGGGTATCTGGTCTCAACTGAATGTATTTCGCGCCGTTTTTGGCGTTATTTATAGTGTTCGTGACGTCATGAAATACGTCACGAACTATACATCTTTCACATTTATAAAAGTGTGAATTTTACCTTACAGAATAAAACACATGTATTTACAGGGTAAAAAGAAAAGAATAAAAAATAGCCACAAGTTAAAATGAAACTAAAAACACCGAATAAAAAGATAAAGCTAAAAGATGACGAGTATAAAATACTCGTCAGATTCGATGTAATATAAATGAAATAAAATAATAATTAATCCAAAATACACAGAAAATCAAGTAAAAACTGACTTTCGTGCCTTAAGAAATAAATAAATGCAAAGTCTGTAAAATCGAGCAAAAAGAAAAAAAAAGAAGAAGAAAAGAAAACGGGTATAAAAAAGGGTAACTTCACTAAAACACACAAAAAATAGACCGTAATAAAAGGCCAAATGAAAAGGAGCGAGCAAGCGGGATCCGGGCGCAGCCGAACGACGGGAAACGAGTGGCGAGGGGATGCTTTCGATAGCCCGAGATGAGGAGGACTAGGATGTCACCTTACAATATCATTGTCCGTTACCGCTTATGAGGACTTCATTTATAGTATGCATGAGTGTTATATGTATGCTGTAATAAAAGTAAAATACTATGCATCCTGTAACAATTAATAAAATCCCATGTATCCCGCGAAAAAAGGAAATACTATGTATGCTGTGATAACGACAAAATGCCACATAACCCTGTAGTAAAGCTGAAGTATTATGCATCCTGTAATAAGGATAAAATACTAAATAAAGTTAAGACGTAGACTTTCAATCCTGACGCAAATACACAGTACAGGGGAGGTGATGTGTATATAGTCAGCTATAAAGTATATTATGAGCGGGTATATGAAACAGAATTCTGTATAATGTAAGTACTGGTCCCCAGCCTGTGGGCTACGATATTGTCCTAGGTAAATTAGATATTGAAAAGTAATACCTCTTTTTATATGTCAGCCTCATAAAAAAATCCTTGTAACAGTGGAGGAGCATGGAGTCACAATAATCTAGTTAACCTAACTAGAGAACTACATATTATGCATTTAATCCCAGGAGATAACTGCCAGTTAGTGGTATACTGGTTGTATATATCCTCTAGCCCAGTGGTTCACAATGACTACACTCATTAGGTCCATGTGAAAAACATTCTAGCAAATCCTATGATTTTACTAATTCCACTTGTTATTTTTTCTTGTGTTACGGTTTAATGAAAACTTCTGCAGCTTGCCTTTGATGAAACTCATGATATTAAAGAAGAAGCAATGCACATAAATATAGTAATTAAAATGGCATTGTTATTTTGAACAAGAAACAAAATAAAATAGCCTAGATGTTAAGATGGAATTATTTATTACCCTAATACTTCTCAATGTCTTGGTTTATGTCAAAAGCACATAATCAGATAAAATAAAGTAATTCCACAAACAAGAATGGATACATTACTCATGTGCCACAAACATCTCACAGACCTTTACTGATCCTGTAAGTATCCTCCACTCGCTGCCTACCCACTAAACCCCTTTGGATGAGGGGTTGACGATATTAAATTCAGATTCATTTGCCTTACTAATACAATTTCTAAACAGACTACTTCTTCCCCTAATAAATCGAACAAAACTGACTATCTCTAAATTCACTATTTGCTATTTTGGAGCCTTCAGTAGGTTCAAAGAGGCAAAAAAAAAAAGAGTTCACAAACCAGGTGAGAATAAAACGCCGAGTATATATTACTGAGATTATAACTAGCAATTGAGAAAACATACCATATAAATAGATCAAGATCTTTAATGGTGTATCAACCGTCACCCTTGAAGTTAATGATATTCACAAAATAGTCAAATTTTGACACTGTAAGCCACACATTTCCACAAGAAATATATTAGCCCCTATAATGTAATTTTTGTGTTTGCGTGTCACGTGGTGTACCAGATCCTAAGGTCTCATATTCTCACAATCCCCCAATTTCAGTATGGGAAGTGTCTCGCACCCAAGACTTTTCTGAAGAGAAATATTAGAGAATCTTGCAAAACTTTAAAAAATTGATGGATAAGGAACAATCCATTCCATTTCATCTGAATTTTGAGATGATTGTCCTTGAAAAGGTTAAATTTAGCCTGGAATAACCTGACGACTTGACCTTAGCTTGCATGCAACCTCGTGTACTGCCTCCAAAATCGTTGGTTTAGCTTCATCTCATGAAAATTATTACTTCTGTAGGAAGAATGTAGTTAGTAAGAAAGTATCGGGAATCATGTAAGTTTTTACTCAATTCTTGGTTGTAAAGTACACTTACGTGAAATTTGGTGGGGCTGTAGGTTTATATCACTGTCGTATATTCTGTCTGTGTAAAAGATAAAAGATTTATAATATTTACATGTGAGTGGGAATATTTATAGATACATTCATGGAAATGATAAATAATAATAGTAATAAATTAATGTAGTTTTTAATATTCATTCATAAAAAAAGCTTCGAGGTCATGTATACAAAGTATCGAATGAATTAACAGAAAAAACAAGTGAAACACTCATGAAGTATCCAACAAATTCTACGGTACGTCATTTTGCATGCACTGTTTAAGAGGTCATCAAATTCCCCATAACCAACGTCGCCACCATCACAATTATAGTTACCAATACCCTCATCGTCATTCATCATTATAAAACTGTGCGAGCGACTCTACAGTTGCCAAAGAAACATAGATGAAAGAGGCACTATTTTCGTAGAGAGCGAGAGCCTCAGTGCTTGAAACTCGTGGGTAGCAATGAGAGAGTGGTGCAGCTTGACTCTTTTGTTAAAAGAGCAACGTAGTGTAATTGGGAACAAGCGCTGAAGCGATGGTTCCAGCCTAGTGCCGTGGCGGGGGGGTCTTGATGAAACGATGACGAGGCTCGTTCTGACTGGGTCAGCCTAGGCCAAGAGGTGACCCGGTGGCATAAACAGGGGTGGCATAAACAGGGCAGACGCACCAAGCCACGTGGATCGCCGATTGGCTTGTAGGTAGGGTCACCATTTTAGAATCGAATGGTTTGTACACAGTTGTTTTTGTATCCCTATACTTACCTCCACTGTACCTAGTCGGAGAAATTTAATATTTTGTGCTGACTGATTATGCATTCGTTTTCTCGTGCTGTTTTATGTTCTTATATTCCTTCTCTTATATACGTTCGCACCATGTTTTTATATGATGGTCTTACTTTACTTGAGGTTCTGCACATTTGCTCTGTACTTTTTCTTTTTTTTTTACTCGTAACAGTTGTTTATGAGCCGTAGAAAACAATTAAGTTTCCCTCTTCGGAGCTACATTTTCTTTCGTCTTCTTCACCGATTCTTGTAATATGTTTAACCCAATATCAGTTGGTTTATTTACTGTCCTCTTCAGAATTTAGTGAGTTTTGTTACATGCAGATGGTTCCACGTGTGCTAAGCAGCAAGGAGTCTACCAGTTGACCCTCGTGACCGATCCTGATTTCCCCATGCCTTGAATTGGCGAGAAAATGCGTTTTTTTTTCCAATACTACAATTGATATTGTTTTCATTCTTATTGGTATCATGATGATTAAATTGTTATTAAAATATTAGTAACATCAAAGGCAATAACATAATAGAAGTGAAGCTTTAAAAAAATGAAGGAAAGGGGTAAACAGATGAGATAATTAAGACTAATAGCTGACTCCTTGGTGACTAAGGACTTGTAGAGCCATCTACATGTAAAGACAATAGATAAACTTATTACAGTGGGCATGGCATTGTAGTCTTGCCACCGACTGACATTGGGTTGATTGTTGTTTTGATTTAAATAATAGCTATGCATTTTTTATGATTATTTAGGCTCCTAATTATTAGACAATTATAATCATAATTTTCATTATCAGGTCAAGCTAAAATAGATTGATGCGCACTAATTTAAGGGAACTATTATTCCTATTCTACATGGTGTAACTAACCCGTGAAAGTAAGCAAAAAATGCACTCACATAATATACTAATGATATATATTCTTTGCCGCTACCCAAATTTTTCGAAGGCTTTTTTTACGGTATCAAGTGGGCATACTACACTGACGCAGAATATGTTAATACTTCGATTATACACACTTGTGAAAATGATCGTTTTGTTATAATCAACGCCTGCTCTCCCATGCTCTTCCATGTTTGTGTATTTCACGTAATATTTTAAAGCCATACTTATTTTTTTACATTTCAAGAGTTATTTATGCAGTTCTTTACAATAATTTTCTGCGCATGCGTATTTTCACGACCAGGACTTTTGACAGCTCAGTAAGCCTCCTTTCCGTGACGAGCAATGACGGGAAATGATTAGTTTACATTCCTGCATCAATTATATAGTGACCAAACCGAAAATTGGATATTAGTGTCCATCACAGTGTGGTATCCGAACCTGAATATCAAGAATGTGAAATTCCATACCAAACAACTCATGACTGTTGAAGGAATCGAGGAAAATGTCGATGTTTTTCTTTACGAGTGCAAAGGTATGTAGTTTTCAGGAGTTAGGTGGTGTATAGTAGCAAAGATATTCTTGTGCAGTTTATTTTGCTGCAGCAAAATAAATTATTAGTCCGTTTAGGGCCACTTCCTTGGGAGAGGGTCGAGGTGGTTAGGTAGTTACGACGTATTGTACAGTATAATGACCACGAGGGTTCAGAGGACGGAGCTCCATGGATAGGGCGTAGGTGTGGTACGTATTGGAAAACGTACCCAATTAACATACCCTAACTTACCGTATGCCGTCTCCTCCTCCTCCTCCTCCTCCTCTTCAAGTTGTTCATCTTCGGGGCGCACCACAACCAACGATGTCAGTTTGGTTACGAAGTGGAACTGTGATAGGAAAAAAGAGATAAAGTGATTTTTTTTTCGTGTACGCACGCGTGTGCGTGCGTGCATATTTTTGCCTTCTATTATAGAATTATTAATTCCAACACATGCGCAAATACAAACAAACGGTTTAAGGCAACTTACTCTGAGGGCGATATCCAGTGCCTCTGCTTTCAACCTGGCAACGCGATCTTTATTTTCTTCCACTGAGGCCTTAGACAGAAGATCCTACAACGGAAAGAAAGCTGTTTATTCTCAATTCGATATGTGGGCATAGTAAATAATTGTGGCTTTTTTGGTGATGAAATACTTAGGCGGTTACTGAGTGTTTCATAAGATCTTCGTCAGTCATACGATACAAGTTTTCCTATAATTCCATAGTATACTTAGTGTCATTGTTGCTCTGACTGTAGCAGATGGACATAAATTAGTCAAGTTTACGATAAGACTACATGGTCACTTGACATCACCTGCACAGCTAGGTACGCCCACAACCTCGCCACATAGTTGTCCTTATCGAGAGCAGGCGCTGGGTTTACATGGAGACGGTTCACCCTGAACTGTATAAGTCCAGCCTTGCCAACTCCCTGGACTACCGGCTCAAGGTGCGTGGCTCCCGGTGCCAACACTCCAGCAGTCACCACCTGCAGCAGAGACATGGTGGCAAACAAAAACAAAATCAGTGTTATATACATATTCTTTTTGGGATTATTTTCTCTCACTTACAATTCCACAAAGACGGCATTGAATACACCTCTCTTTCAAGAGACGGCAGAAACTTAACCCTTCCTAACCTCTCCTCCTGAGTAGTAGTGAGTCGTGCCTTGCTTCACCACGGACTCAGGGTCAACCTCGTCCTCCAGATAGCTAACTTCCACGTCAGCCATGAGGGGCGTGGCAATCTCCTGGTAGAATCCTATTAGCTGTTCCTCCGGATCTGTGTGTTCGTCAATTTGTCTGGCAAAGGCGCGGTTGTCGGCACTCACTTCCTGAAGCAATCTGGGAGAAGTATACTTAT